ATGTAATAAACATATTTTGAAAGAATAAAGAAAATCGTGCCAAAGGGATAGGCCAGCAATAGAAATTTATGGTAATTTATTGTTCTATTGAGGCAGATTTTAAATAATGCATTAAATTGATAAATAATAATATTTTTTATCGAAATGGTGTTAGGTATTGTTCATTAAGGTGTAACTAACATGTATAAACGGAAAAGGTTGAGTTTTAGTAAATTAGGTTCTTATGGAACCGAGGTCACACCAGCTACAATCAAAATGGCCTATCTCAACTATAAAGGAGTGGGCTAACCTAGGCGACGTGTTTTCTAGTTCGTAATGATGTAATAAACATATTTTGAAAGAATAAAGAAAATCGTGCCAAAGGGATAGGCCAGCAATAGAAATTTATGGTAATTTATTGTTCTATTGAGGCAGATTTTAAATAATGCATTAAATTGATAAATAATAATATTTTTTATCGAAATAGTGTTAGGGATTGTTTATTAAGGTGTAATTAACATGTATAAACGGAAAAAGTTGAGTTTTAGTAAATTAGGTTCTTATGGAACCGAGGTCACACCAGCTACAATAAAAATGGCCTATCTCAGCTATAAAGGAGTGGGCTAACCTAGGCGACGTGTTTTCTAGTTCGTAATGATGTAATAAACATATTTTGAAAGAATAAAGAAAATCGTGCCAAAGGGATAGGCCAGCAATAGAAATTTATGGTAATTTATTGTTCTATTGAGGCAGATTTTAAATAATGCATTAAATTGATAAATAATAATATTTTTTATCGAAATGGTGTTAGGGATTGTTTATTAAGGTGTATTTAACATGTATAAACGGAAAAAGTTGAGTTTTAGTAAATTAGGTTCTTATGGAACCGAGGTCACACCAGCTACAATCAAAATGGCCTATCTCAGCTATAAAGGAGTGGGCTAACCTAGGCGACGTGTTTTCTAGTTCGTAATGATGTAATAAACATATTTTGAAAGAATAAAGAAAATCGTGCCAAAGGGATAGGCCAGCAATAGAAATTTATGGTAATTTATTGTTCTATTGAGGCAGATTTTAAATAATGCATTAAATTGATAAATAATAATATTTTTTATCGAAATGGTGTTAGGTATTGTTCATTAAGGTGTAACTAACATGTATAAACGGAAAAAGTTGAGTTTTAGTAAATTAGGTTCTTATGGAACCGAGGTCACACCAGCTACAATCAAAATGGCCTATCTCAACTATAAAGGAGTGGGCTAACCTAGGCGACGTGTTTTCTAGTTCGTAATGATGTAATAAACATATTTTGAAAGAATAAAGAAAATCGTGCCAAAGGGATAGGCCAGCAATAGAAATTTATGGTAATTTATTGTTCTATTGAGGCAGATTTTAAATAATGCATTAAATTGATAAATAATAATATTTTTTATTGAAATGGTGTTAGGGATTGTTTATTTAGGTGTAACTATCATGTATAAACGAAAAAGTTGGTTTTCAGTACATTAGGTTCTTATGGAACCGAGGTCACACCAGCTACAATCAAAATGGCCTATCTCAACTATAAAGGAGTGGGCTAACATAAGCGACGTGTTTTCTAGTTCGTAATGATGTAATAAACATATTTTGAAAGAATAAAGAAAATCGTGCCAAAGGGATAGGCCAGCAATAGAAATTTATGGTAATTTATTGTTCTATTGAGGCAGAATTTAAATAATGCATTAAATTGATAAATAATAATATTTTTTATCGAAATGGTGTTAGGGATTGTTTATTAAGGTGTAACTAACATGTATAAACGAAAAAGTTGATTTTTAGTAAATTAGATTCTTATGGAACCGAGGTCACACCAGTTTAATTCAAAGTTACCTATCTCAACTATAAAGGAGTGGGCTAACCTAGGCGACGTGTTTTCTAGTTCGTAATGATGTAATAAACATATTTTGAAAGAATAAAGAAAATCGTACCAAAGGGATAGGCCAGCAATAGAAATTTATGGTAATTTATTATTCTATTATGAGGTCCATTCCAGGCTGCATAGCTACACTACTAAAAAGTGGGCTAACCTATACTACGTCATTTTATGTTCATAACAATGTGTTTAACACATATCAAAAGAAAAACGAGAAAAAAATTTAAGAGGAGATGCCAGCAATAGGTTTTTTACTATATTTAGTTAGTAATTTTAGGTAGTTTATTAGTTTGTATTAATATCAAGGTGATTTCTACATTAATAAGCTTAAAAGTGCCCAGTATTGTTCAATACCAGATAAATAATGTAAATAGACATTTAGAACATACATTTTTGTAATAGCATCGGCGTGCAACCGAGGTCACACGAAGTGCATTCCAGGATACATAGCTACACTATTAAAGAGTGGGCTAACCTAGAAGAGGTAATTTTTTGTTCATAACCATGTGTTTAACGCGTATCAAAAGAAAAACTGAAGAAAAATTTAAGGGGAATTGCCAGCAATAGGTTTTTATGGTAGTCAAATAGTAATTTTAGATTTGGATTCAAATCGATGCGGTAACTACTTAATTAGCTAAAAAGTGCTTGGTGTTGTGCAATATGCTCTACATAATGTAAATAGATATATAAAACATGAATTTTAGTAATAGCGTCGTCGTGCAATCAAGGTCACATGAAGTGCATTCCAGGCTACATAGCTACACTAGTAAAGAGTGGGCTAACCTATAACACGTCATTTTATGTTCATAACAATGTGTTTAACACATATCAAAAGAAAAACGAGAGAAAAACTTAAGGGGAGATGCCAGCAATAGGTTTTTATGGTAGTCAGCTAATAATTTTATCATTTGGAAAAAATTGGAGGTGGTTACTACTTAAAATAACCTCAAACGTCTTTAATATTGTTCTTTATTCTCTAAATAATGAAATAGTAGTTTAATTTCATTCAACGTATTGTACAGTTTTATACATATATATTACTTAACCTTCATAATCAACGCTGTGCGTGTACCGCCAAACGCCATCTTGGCCGTGTTTCGCAAAAAAAAATTGCCGCCACTTGATATTTTGGAGGTTATGTCAGCTGCTTTGTGACGAATCCTACTGTGACGCCATCATTGTTGTGACGTTTTACTGTGACGTATATTCGTCGGAGGGGCGGTAGGAGAAGTGGAATGGGTTATTGCTGTTCTATTGCCAGTTTCACGCTGATTTTTCATTGTTCTATTGAGGCAGATTTTAAATAATGCATTAAATTGATAAATAATAATATTTTTTATTGAAATGGTGTTAGGGATTGTTTATTTAGGTGTAACTATCATGTATAAACGAAAAAGTTGGTTTTCAGTACATTAGGTTCTTATGGAACCGAGGTCACACCAGCTACAATCAAAATGGCCTATCTCAACTATAAAGGAGTGGGCTAACATAAGCGACGTGTTTTCTAGTTCGTAATGATGTAATAAACATATTTTGAAAGAATAAAGAAAATCGTGCCAAAGGGATAGGCCAGCAATAGAAATTTATGGTAATTTATTGTTCTATTGAGGCAGAATTTAAATAATGCATTAAATTGATAAATAATAATATTTTTTATCGAAATGGTGTTAGGGATTGTTTATTAAGGTGTAACTAACATGTATAAACGAAAAAGTTGATTTTTAGTAAATTAGATTCTTATGGAACCGAGGTCACACCAGTTTAATTCAAAGTTACCTATCTCAACTATAAAGGAGTGGGCTAACCTAGGCGACGTGTTTTCTAGTTCGTAATGATGTAATAAACATATTTTGAAAGAATAAAGAAAATCGTACCAAAGGGATAGGCCAGCAATAGAAATTTATGGTAATTTATTATTCTATTATGAGGTCCATTCCAGGCTGCATAGCTACACTACTAAAAAGTGGGCTAACCTATACTACGTCATTTTATGTTCATAACAATGTGTTTAACACATATCAAAAGAAAAACGAGAAAAAAATTTAAGAGGAGATGCCAGCAATAGGTTTTTTACTATATTTAGTTAGTAATTTTAGGTAGTTTATTAGTTTGTATTAATATCAAGGTGATTTCTACATTAATAAGCTTAAAAGTGCCCAGTATTGTTCAATACCAGATAAATAATGTAAATAGACATTTAGAACATACATTTTTGTAATAGCATCGGCGTGCAACCGAGGTCACACGAAGTGCATTCCAGGATACATAGCTACACTATTAAAGAGTGGGCTAACCTAGAAGAGGTAATTTTTTGTTCATAACCATGTGTTTAACGCGTATCAAAAGAAAAACTGAAGAAAAATTTAAGGGGAATTGCCAGCAATAGGTTTTTATGGTAGTCAAATAGTAATTTTAGATTTGGATTCAAATCGATGCGGTAACTACTTAATTAGCTAAAAAGTGCTTGGTGTTGTGCAATATGCTCTACATAATGTAAATAGATATATAAAACATGAATTTTAGTAATAGCGTCGTCGTGCAATCAAGGTCACATGAAGTGCATTCCAGGCTACATAGCTACACTAGTAAAGAGTGGGCTAACCTATAACACGTCATTTTATGTTCATAACAATGTGTTTAACACATATCAAAAGAAAAACGAGAGAAAAACTTAAGGGGAGATGCCAGCAATAGGTTTTTATGGTAGTCAGCTAATAATTTTATCATTTGGAAAAAATTGGAGGTGGTTACTACTTAAAATAACCTCAAACGTCTTTAATATTGTTCTTTATTCTCTAAATAATGAAATAGTAGTTTAATTTCATTCAACGTATTGTACAGTTTTATACATATATATTACTTAACCTTCATAATCAACGCTGTGCGTGTACCGCCAAACGCCATCTTGGCCGTGTTTCGCAAAAAAAAATTGCCGCCACTTGATATTTTGGAGGTTATGTCAGCTGCTTTGTGACGAATCCTACTGTGACGCCATCATTGTTGTGACGTTTTACTGTGACGTATATTCGTCGGAGGGGCGGTAGGAGAAGTGGAATGGGTTATTGCTGTTCTATTGCCAGTTTCACGCTGATGCAATTTTCTTGCCTAGCCTACTTTCATCTTGCCAGCCAGTTTCGGTAAATATCATATCTGATCTTGATGGTTTTAACCTGGTTGCTTAAGTCAATAGTCGCTCAGATCAGTTCTTATGCCCTACACTAGGGATGAGCATCGATAGTCGATGTTTTCGAAACATCGATGTTTTTCTAGGGTAGACTTCCGTGAAAATATCATTCAAGATATCGATTATTCAATATATCGATTGTTTCATTCGAATATCGTTTGGTTAGTTAGGTTAACCTAACCAACCATAACTTACGATTATGGAATTAAATAAGTTAATCGATATTTTCATTCGGTTGTTTTTGACAAGGGATATGGAAATCTACACGTTACATTGATGTTTTCGTCAAACAGCGATGTTTTTGGCCAAGTAACTTATTGAAATATTGAAATTTTTCATTACGAAGTTAAAGAGTAGGCCTAAAAAAATCAGAAGAAAGACTGAAAAATACCATTTATGTTTTAGTCCCAAAAACATGTTATCGGTACGGTAGCCTACATCGATAGTTGACGTCGATGTTACCAATGGTGAACATCGATGGTTGACCTATGGATGCTCATCTCTACCCCACACTAAATAACTTAACTAGTGAGATTTTTAATTGTTTTTCCTTATAGGTTTAACATTGACATGTAAACAGGTTACCTTTTCTATTAATAGTCAAACGTCCCAATAAAATAACTGGTTGTTCTAGGTAAGATAAGTAGTAAGTTAAGACTATTCCACTCAAGTGATCGTGATGTTTATTGATTTATATAGGCTAACTTTTAAAAACTAACTTAAGTACCTAGGGGCCTATTGTAAAGAACAAGATAAACACCTACCCTCTCTATTTCTTAGGCTATTGTGAACTTATACATGAGGGCGTAGTTCTGAGCTTTACTATTTTATTGTAATAGGGTAGTTTACTCATGTGAGAAGGGTTGGTTTCCCCAGAAATAATAAGTCAAGTCGTAATTATATAATAACAACAAAACCTTTATTTGAATTGAACTCTAAAACAAACGGCAACCCTATAAAAAGACCTTTGAAAACAGCAGGCCTAAGATTGTTAGAAATGTGTTGATAGCCTAGCTGTAAGTGTCTCAGATTTGGGGCGAGAGGAGCGTTTTTAATTCCAGCACATAATTATGGGCGCTCAACATACTGCCACTGTAAGAGTCAAATGTACTATAGTGTTACCAGGCTTTTAAAGTGGTCCCATCAAATTTATTTTTTACAATAGGCTATATATAGCAATACCAGCTTACTTTAATATTATTTTCTGCGCTAAATTTACCATGCCTTTTTCAAAGTCTGATAGTGGGCTATATACCTACCTACTAATAGTATGTTCTAACTTCTAACACAGAAGCTCATAACATGATCTACAGGTGATCTAAGGTGATCTACTCACCTTAAACTGAGTAGGATATTCAACTAGATTAATAATAATTAATAACCAAATACTTATGTTCCTTTGAGTTGTTTTTTTTTTAGGAAATCAGTAGGCTATAGCTTGTGCGTTTCCTGGTGAAGCCTGGGGGTAGGGTTGAAGCCCCTACAAAACCACCTAATTCATTCTAACCACCTACTCCCAGGCTTCACCAGGAAACACACGAGCTCTACCTTCCTTTATTTTGTTTACTGGAGATTTTAACTTTCAAAGTGCAAAAGGCCCTAATGTACAATTTTGAATTTGGACCATTGACTATATATACCCACAGGTAGGTATAGTCGATATACCTACCTGTAAATATATAGTCAATGATTTGGACTTAATGTTGAACATTATTACCATTAGGTATTTTTCATTTTAATCCCAATGAAAATAATTGTACTTTTGTAACATCACATCGATGTAGTTACCACAAGAACAAGAAATTAAAAATAAATAACGTTACCTGCAATGGTATTTTTAACTAATAGATTGAATTATTACTAATGTTGGAAGGCTGCCTTTTGGATGTTTGCCCTAACCCCAGTCGAGTCAGTCCCAGTTGTGGCTGTGTCAGTGGTGGAATTTGATGGTTTAGATTTTGTGAAACTAGTGGTCAATAACAATACTAGGGTTTTTTTTTTATTTACGAAAGTGTTGTTGTATTTTACAACATCCTACACTATCTGACAAGTTACTATTTTGCCGATTAGGTATGTTTTGTTGCTGTATTGTATAGTTAAAGTAGCCTCCTACAACAGTTTGGAAATATTTTTTCTTTAAGCTTGTTGTGAACAAGTAATTAACATTTTAGCTTGATACTAGTTTACTGTTTTAGGGTACTTGGTACATATTTACAACAAGCCTCTGTAAATCAGGGTGCAATTTACTTTCCTATTATATTATTCCTAAACTTAGGTAAATATCAGAGTAAAATAAAATAAATGAATATTCTTTATTATAAAAGTTCTTAAACACAGCCTAGTACTCAGCCTAGCATAAAACAGGTACCGTAGAGAAGTCACATTTTCCTGTCTTTTACCTTGGTGTAGAACACATTACACTATTTATTAAAACCGCTGTTAATATTTAGTAAAACAGAGATGTTTTTACAATAAAACGTTTACCATGTTTACCTTCATAGCCTAAGCTGTAATATTTTGAACTTTTTATTTCTAAATAATTATCAATTTAAGTTTTATTATTAAGACTAAAATTGATATAGGTAATTCTCAAGTGTGGCAGATTATGTAAAAATATGTAAACATATTTTTAATCCTTACTTCTGTTTGAAAGACGGTAAGGATGAAATATTAAAAAAAAATTGAGAATAGGATATATTTTAAATGAAAGCCTTGTAAGGCTTGTAGGGCTTGTAAGGGAGTAAAGAACTTTTCCAGTCCTATTTTACTTTTGATGTTCAAGTTACCTAAGTTTTTTTATGTACCTTAGGCCTAGATAAAAAAAATTATAACGCTGACTCGACATTGCAAGTACCGGTACCTTAAGACAAAGATGAATTTTACCTTGTGTGTTTTTGCTATTTTTAATATAATTTTTTGTTTCAGATGCAGTCCTCTTCTTCAGTATGAAAACTAATAGTCAGGTGGTAACTTAGTGTGAATTTGTGGAAAATACAGTGTAAAAGTGCGGTCACAATGAGTGAGGAAGATAAAAAGAAACCGATGGATGGTCCAAAACCCTCTGGACTGAAACCTCCTTCCAAGTTGGGGCGTTTGTGTGCCAACCAGCAACCCAAGCCAGCTGTTCCACCCAGTCCACCAAAAGCCAGTGAGTAACATGCAGAAATATCAATTTACGTTGACATATCATGTGTACCTGAACTGACCTTGATACATTCACTGAAGTTGGCTGCTATAAAGGGTAGTGCTAAATGCTTGAAATATTTTAATGTTTGGTTCTGTTGTGATGACTACGCATGCACAGGGACGGCGGAGTATTGAATAAAGGAAAACCGAGTTAAGATTAAAATATTTAGTTTATCGTTTAAAAAGAGTTAATTCAGAATGATTTTCCACTTGTTAACTTACTAAAATTACTATAATTCTATAGTAAAATTAAAAAAAGTCCACTCCATGGACGACTGCGGGGAGAGAAATATAGCGGAAAGACGCGACCACGAGTTCCCATTTTACACCCCTTGCACTCTTCCAATCCGACTGACTGCCCCCACACCACGGATGTGATATCATACACGTCAGATAGAATGCTGACACCTCTTGTCAACAGAACAATCAAGCCTCATGTTCTGTGATACGACCAAACCATCGAACGTGGTGTAGCGATGAATGTAACTTACCTAATACTTTGTTACGCCCAACAAAACCTTTAAACTAATTGTAAAATCTGCTGAAACTGTGTAGCTTAGTTACTGACTAAGCATAATACCTATCTTTAAAAGCCCAATGATCAAGGTCAGATGAGTTCCAGTTTCAATCCATTTAAAAGCTACCAACTTTTCTCAGAAAATAGTTCACCTAATTAAATCTTCGTAATTATGTTGTATAACCACACAGTAGAGCATAAATCATAACATTTACGCCGAGGAAACATTTTGTCCAACACTAGCACCTCAACGTCAATAAAAACACACTAGATAAACAAGCTTTATATTCTACAGTAGGATGGTAAGTGTAGGCCTACTTGTAAACTATTTATTGTCAATGATGTATGTTACATTTACCGTGTTTAATTTTCAACCATATCAAGAGGGTATTGCTGTCAACAATTATCTCAGACTGTAAAATACTTTACTAATAGAGACTCCTCACTGATTGTCTTATTTCCCTCATCTACAGTCTAGTAGTCTATAGTGATGAGATGGCTGGGTGTGTCCACCACGCTCCACTGAATCGACACATAATAGTAGTCAAGCTCGGTCGCCTTCATGGCTTAATCTGATTCTCTTATTGTCCAGCCGTGCTGCCTCTCACGCCGTTTTTCTGTTTTACTTCCGTATCAAATTGTTAAAAACAAGTGATGTAAATTTTAAACATTATTAGATTAATTAGTGGTCCCAACAGCACCTATTACAATCCAACGTTCAGTTATCCCAATCTGTAACACGTTTTTATACAAAATTGAATTTTTTAATCTCTATGCCTAGTTCATGTCAAGAAGACTTTTCTAGGATTGTAACCTAATGATCAATGCTTGCACTTAAAACAAATGATTTTATATTCTTGTCTAATGTTACGACTGAGACTGCATTAACAAAGTCGTACAGTAATGCAACCTTCTGAAATCCTGGTACACCTGTTATGACTAGAAGACTTAAATCATTTGAATTTTGGTGCATTTGGCAACCAAGAATCACGAGTGGGAAAAATGTGAGAATTATTTTTCAAAAGTTCTGTGACAACCCAATTATTGTTATTCGTTTTTTTATCATTTAATCATTGCTTATTTGGTGATGTAAATTAGAGATTGTATTACTTTTTGTTGTAATTAAAGAGGTATGTCCAAAAATACAGGCACAATCTGCCCCAATAGTTTTACTTTTACCAATGGGATTAGTCTAAAATATAGTATTGAAACAATAATATACATTTGAATTTGCTGTACCTAGTAAAACAGCTGACGACAGCAAACTTCTATGAGCTAGATGTTTGCAGCGGGGAATGAATGAATTATTTGTCTTACACTGACTTCCTCCTAAACCTATATTGTTAATCTTGATTCATATTTCTTTACATAGGTATGGAATAGTGTTAATCCTGCTGGCAGCAATTGTAGTAGTAATTTAATATGTGATAATTGAGCAATTTCTTAAACTTATTAAAATCTGATTCTTTTTCGCGCATTTCCCATGACCAAGCTATTACCATATTTCTTATAGAAAGCCCTACAAGTAGCCCCAAGACTGATTTACTTCTTGTTTCGATAAACACACCATTTGTTCAAGTACATAAATAATTGCAGTCCAGTAACCTATTTTGATTAAATTTTGTACAAACGTGTGTCACCCCTGAACACCCCTCCAACAGTGTCCTGATAGCTTTTTTTGCTGTTTTAAAATGTAGCCTAATCCATATTAATTTGTTTGGCTTAAATGTATTGTACTGCTATTCCAAACAGGACATTGGAATTTGGTCAGTTTAGTTCCGAGATGTACTCCTTTTTAATTTCGCTTTTTAGGAAATACATTCATTCTTCATATGTACATGAGCCAAAGAGTATTTGAATTGCAGTAAAAAGAAAAGTAGGCCACAGCTTCCTTTACACAACATCAACACACTGTCACATTTGCCAGAACAATCGCAACTCTGTGTGTACATAAATTTGCATCATTTGTTGATGTCACCAGCGACACTAGACTCTCAAGGCGTCAATGTGAAAACTGAAAACAGCACCGTTGTATTAGCTGAAATAACATATTTGAACTTAAAAGCTAATTGTAAAAAATATTGTGTCCAAACCGACAAAATGTTGCTCTAGTAATTTTGATTACAAGAGTACACTTGAACTAAAAGCTAAATCAAGACTATTTCAGTTTGGACCATAAACAAGAGACGGGATTTTTAGTTAACTATGTATAATGTTCTAAGGCAATCAGGATATTGTATAAAATGTATATTGGGATTGAAGAATTTGTGATTTAAATGTGGTACCTAGTTAATGTGTTTTAAGTAATGTATTTAAAACATCTTTTACATAGCCATAGAATGATATTTCATGGAACGACTTAATATTTGTTTCTTAAATATTTTGCTGAATTACAAAATTTTTATTTGCCATATTACTTAACCTAGATTCAGATTTATTTCCTTGTTAAAAATAAAATACCTACACTAAACCTACATATGTCGGAAAAAACAAATAAAAAAATAGGCCTACACAATAACACATTTAAAAATTAACTTAAGAATTAATTTATAGAAATATATTTTTCACCTAGACGTAATGTTATTTGATCATATCAAACTTAATTATTCCAAAGTCAGTCTAGTGTAAAATCAATTCATAGATCATGTGAAACCATCCATTTAGCCTGTTGTCCCCGTCGTATCAGTATGGGCTGCACAATGTCACGTACGTAATGTATAAAAAGTCACTAGGTCAGGCAGTGTGCAGGAATGCACTTATATAGCAAGAGAGTGAGTCATGAAGCTAAAACTGGAGTTTCCTTTTCGGTAACCTGTAAGACCGCTTCCTTTGTCTTACACCGTGGCATTGGCGTTTAATTAGACTTGTGCACTTTGTGGTGTTTTGTTAAGAGTTATTTTCTCGCACTGGGTTCAGCCATTCAGAATATTAGCTAGTTACAATTTAATTTTTTAAATTACATCACGCTGGTCATTGTACAGAAAGATTTAAAATGTTATTCATGTTAATGAGCGGGATATTTTGGTGTAGTGGGACCTTTTTAAGTTAAATTTGTAAAATGTAAATCTTTTCAACTGTTACAACCCACTATGTGGTATTTTGTATTCCATAAAGTCTTTAAATTAAATTTAGCACTGAATGTAAAAGGTAAATTAGGTACATCTTGTCAATTAGTACAGCCTTTAGTGAGTATAATAAGAGAGTGACAGAAAAATTCCCCCATCACTTTTCTCCCCTACTTTGAAATAGTATATTTCATTACTAGGACCGAAAGTGGCATTTTCCATCGCGCTCAAGTTTTATTGTGAGGTGAAGCTGAACACAGGGAACCCCAATTTCACGTGGCGAAGCCAAGTATGTGAGAACTATTTTCACGTACGAGGCGAAGCCGAGGACGGGAATAATGGAGCAAGTGCCGGATAATAACTTTTGGTACGAGTTATGAACGATAATTTTCATCACGACGCATAAATACACAAACACAGAATAGCAGACCTCAGTAATATTACAACTATTATTTCTCAATTAATTTGATTGAACATCAAAATAAAATAAAATCTTCTAAAAGGAAACCTACGTATTTTTCTCAATAAATTTGGCTTAAAAATGAAAATAAAAGTATAAAACTACTTTTAACAACACACACAGCTCAAATCATTAAACTAAACCGTAACAAAACACTAGTAGCGCGCATAGTGAAAAAATGGAGAACTAATTGAGAGCGAGGGAAAATAAATTTAGAGCAAGGGAAAATAAGCTGATCGATTTTCCCTCGCCCTAAATTAGAGCTTGGAAAACGACTACTTTCATTGATGTCAGCTGTTATCGAAAATAGTTACTTTCGTTACGGAGTGATGAAAAAATATTTTAGGAGGGTCTGTAAATTAAGGTCTCCATCCAGCTTAGTCGCAATCAAGCGAAATGTCATGATGGATCCTTCCTTACTTCATTCACAACTATTCTCTGGCTCACACTCTTATGGGATGGTTTGTCCACTCATAGTATTAAAAGTAATCTCTGAATGAAATTGACACTTGACCGAGTATGCAGTAAATAAAGTAAGGAACATGACGTTGGTATCAGACTCAAACTATATCTTGCTTGGTTACAACGGGAGCTTGATTTACGGATATATCCCTCATATATTAGAAAGACAATTTCATAGAGTACTGTACATTATAACAAAAGCTATAGTGGTGGGCAAGGGTTCTAATGTGAATGCACATACCGCATGTCATTCTAAAAGATTTGATCTATAGTGAATTGTGCATTTTTTACATAATACCTTAAAAAAACATTCAACATCGGCAAATGAAAGATATGCATTATAATTTAAATATTTTTTTGTTTTTTTTGTCTAGAAATTGGTTAGATAAATTGCTGACGGTTGCGAACAGTTCTAGAAGCATATTGAATATGCTTGGATTATTGCAACACATAGCACT